TGAAAAGGAGGTGAGTAGTAAGTTGGCCAGGATAAACACTTTTCGGACGACTCTTAAGGATGTTCGATACATCTCTTGCGGGACAGGCGGTGCGGAGGGAAGCCTATGCTTATACACGGTAGTTTCGTTGTAGTACCAACCTTACATAAACTAATTTGAGCGAACTAATTATAATATATACGAATGAAATTTATACAACGCATATTAGCTTGCATATATTTTTCGTGTTTAATGCACGGCTATTAACTTTTTATTTAAATAAAAGTGTCTATTTATTCATTAAGAGCTTGTAAAATTATGGATGAAATCTGGCAACATTGTTATGGCGTGGTGGTAAAAGTTGGGTCAACTGTCATTACTGTCAACTTTGCGCTTATTCCGTAAACATGAATGAACAACCAAGGTACAAAAAAGTTATGACTGAAAAGTAATATAAAATGAGTGTACAACAGAATGTGGATTGATGAGAAAAAAGTAAAATGTGTAAACCGAGAATCCATATTGTATCAAGAAGTTCAGTATATGATAGTGAGACGTCGCCTTGTCAATTCGAAGATTATGACAGAACATCTATACTGTCAGTTTTGTAAAGAGATGCTTTCAATATCTGTTTCAAATTGCTAGTATATTGCATTAGATCACGAAACATTTATTTAATATTCATTATTACTACATATGTTTTCGACTGGAATAATTTTATAGTCTATAATCGAGCTATTCAAATATAGCGCGTCAGTCGAAGCGTTAAATACAGCGGAAAGTGTTGCCGTATTTCCTTTCATTGGATCAGATGTTTGATCAAATTTGTCATAACGTTATATATTCATTCCATTATCTCAATAATTACATTGTAAGTGCATATTTTTATTGTTTTAAATGTTTAGTAATATTTAATTCTTTAATTACAATGTTATTTTTCCGATCCAAACCATTTTTAAGAGCAATATTCACGTTTGATTAAAGTTTTTTCCCCAACTCCCATAAGAGCCTGTGTACAAGAGCACAATTTTTAATATCATTTTTCAAAAACTACATTGGCAATCGATCTGATATTTTTACACGAGACAGTTTGCATATTTATTAACAGATTTCAACTGATTTGAAAACTTTCTTACCATTTTTTTTTCGGTATCGAACCTCCTTAAAGCGTCTTTCCAATTTGTTGGTGTTCGAGAGGCGGCGGTCTGTTTGACTCCTTGCGGTACTTCGATACTTTAGAGTATAAACAGCTGAAGTCTATCTACTTGTTAGAAACAACACTCAGATGATGATGTAATTAGAATGAGTTTAACCGCAGTTTTGCCAACATTCTATACCTATACACGTAAAAAAAACTGTAAAAAAAAACCTCTGAAAAAATCTAATATTTTCTCAAACAAATAAAGGCATAGAGCAACGTAAAAAAAAAACAAAATTTAAAAACAATCCGTTTCTCTTAAACTAATCAATGTATCGAGATGCGGCCTTCATCATTTAATTTTTCTCGAAAATTAATCCATGTCTCAAACACTTTTTCCTATCATTTCGGAAAAGTGTCAAATTTTGCCCACTCTGTGAACATCACACTATAACTCCCTTATTTCTTTTACATTTGTATCTAGGAAAAAACACCATGGTTCCAAATTTTTCATTGTCTAATACAGGTATCTTTCTTATTTTAAGATATACGGAAAAAATTAAATGAGCAAAATTTAATGCCGATCATGGATTCTTTTTAAATTTAGAAAATTCCTAATAATTTCGAAGATATTCGAAGGAAACAGATTTTATGCTATTCCTTTTTTAGTCGTGTTTCTCTAGTTTTTCAAAATTTTTGGACAAAAATGTGTAGTTTGATATTAAATGATGTGAAGAATCGATTTTTACTGTCAGAATTAACGTATCTCTAAAAATGTATGCTGAGCGGTAGTTAACTTTTGTTCTTTTTATGAACTGTTACGGTTTAATTTTGCGGCAGCGTAAATCATCACNTTTTAGCACTAGTGTTAAAAGTAAGTCATGTGATTTACCTTTAAGACCACTGTTATAAAATCACACTTTAGAAACTGTCAGTACACGTTAAAAATTATACAAAATTATATTTTATGGATATTTATTAAGTACACCTTTTTTACGTAAAATACCATACATTTTTATAAAATGATGGAAAATTTGGGGTATAGTGGAACAAAAATTTTTTATCTAAAAATTTTGGTGGGTGGGTGCTTTGCCCCTGGGCCTCCATAATTATTATCGAGGATTTCATATTATCATCCAAAGCAGCTTCAAAAATTATAGATTCAGCCAAAAAATTTTCAAAATTTATTGAAAAATACAAAAGTTACAGCAAAAAAAACATTTTTAATTCTCAACTTCAAGAGNATGTGATTTACCTTTAAGACCACTGTTATAAAATCACACTTTAGAAACTGTCAGTACACGTTAAAAATTATACAAAATTATATTTTATGGATATTCATTAAGTACACCTTTTTTACGTAAAATACCATACATTTTTATAAAATGATGGAAAAGGGGTATAGTGGAACAAAAATTTTTTATCTAAAAATTTTGGTGGGGGGGTGCTTTGCCCCTGGGCCTCCATAATTATTATCGAGGATTTCATATTATCATCCAAAGCAGCTTCAAAAATTATAGATTCAGCCAAAAAATTTTCAAAATTTATTGAAAAATACAAAAGTTACAGCAAAAAAAACATTTTTAATTCATAAGTTCAAGAGCTAATAACTCTACAGGGTGAGCCCAGAGGAAAAAATTTTATATGAACTTGTGACATTATTTTCTCATTATCTATCCATATCCGAGAGATTGCCCACCATTTCCGGGACACCCTGTATACAACAATTAATTGAAGGATAACAATTTTTTACTGTAAAGCTGCTGTTAGAGTGTGCTATTATAGCATATACAGGGTGTCTTTCCAAAATGGGCCATATCTTAACAGTACTTCCTTAGGTGAAAATAAATCAATTTTGATCAAGTTACCTTAGTACAATTTTGCTTATTTAAAAAGTTACCGGCCTTCTAAGAACATTTTTTTATTTAATCTTTTAAGATAACTCCACCTTTGGTTTATTCAGTTAGATTCGGTGTTTTTAACTAATGATTTTTTGGGAAACAACTATTCTGTGGGCTACAGTTTTATCCAGAATTGAATTACACCTGCAATATCGAATATTAAACAGCTAATATCATTCGTTAGTAGAATCACCAGATATAGACCAGTTTTGAATACTTATTAGTTACCTAGTAGTTGATTTAGCTATTTTAATGTTTGTCTACCGATGTTTTGGGTGTCAAAACTTTCATAATATGTTGGTAGCTAACATCGTCGCTTATGGCATACTGACGAGAACTAATAAGCTTGAAATTAGTCTTATGTCTAGCAATACTGCTGACACTTAATCTTTAGTTGTTTACAGGCCTGAAGAGTAGAATAGTTGTTTCCACAATATCGTAAGTTAAATAATTTATTTTGTCTGTTGGGATACTAGCCATATTTTTATACTACCTACAGTTTAGTAGGTTGCCATTTAACAATTAAGATCTGACATATTTTGTACGTTATTTATCCTACTTACAATTAAATCCGTTAGTGCGGCTGTGCCTTCTTTTTAAAAAGTTGTCAGTTTCATTGTTTTTTTCTGGAAATAAAACTTAATTTTAAAAATAATTGTGAACGTGAAAGTGGTTTTAATTTTCTTTTTTTTTGCTTTTTTTTCCAAAAAAAATTACAATTTTTCAAAATTGATATCATTTTAGACGCAGATCCAGTAGTATATAGTTTTAGGTAAAAAAATTATTTATATTCACGTTTGGCTGCCATGAAAGCCTTCATATACCAATTTTATTGAAATATCTTAAAACAGAAAATAGTTATCTTAAAATAATTAAATAAAAATTAGTTTGAATGTTTGAAATTTTTTAATAAAGAAAAATTGTGTTATAGTATGTAAAATCATCCAAAGACGATACTTTTGAAGTATAGTCCATCAATTTTTGGACACCCTGTATAAATAAATGTGTTTGTGATTTTTCCTTTTTTTTGCACAATTACTTTTAATGTTATCAGTTTAAACTATTTTGGTAGATTTTAATTATGTTTCATAAGTGGAAGTATCAAAAACCTATTTTGACTGTATAAAATTTTAGGTATGCTTATATTCCTCAAAAAGATTTAAGTCTTGAAAAGAATTGTCTTAAACAAATTAGAAGAGTTATGAGACAAAGAGCAATTAGTGTGAATTTGCAACCAGAAATAGAAGAAGCATGTCTTAAAGATCTCGGTGTTTATTGCCATAAATTAAAAAAAGGCCAAGAGATGGAGTGTCTTCAGAACAATTTGGAACGGCTTGAAAAATTGTGTCATGATGCTGTCGAATCAATTACTGAAATTGAAGCACAAGAAGCAGACTTAAACCCTTATATTACTAAATATTGTAAAAACATAATTCAGCAATTGTGTGCAGCCGAAGATAGTAACGATGATGGCAATATTATGGACTGTTTAATAGACAACAAAAATAACCCATTAGTGAAATCAAATCATGCTTGTCGTGCCAGTATTGAACATTTTCAGATCATTTCTCTTAAAGACTACAGATTTACATATAAATTTAAAGTGGCTTGTAAATCATATGCTACAAGACTTTGTAATTATGCTAGAACGAAAAATGAGGTGATGTCTTGTTTAAGTGAACAAATGCTAAATGCCACAATTCAAGGTTTAAAAAGTAGCATATCTAAAGAGTGCAAGCAACAACTGAGGTCACAAATATTCCACCAAAGAGAGAATATTGACTACAATCCTTCACTGAAACTAGCTTGTTCTGAAGATATTCAAAAATATTGTAACAATTTACATCCTGGAAATTCTCAGGTATGCAACCTGTTTTTTTATTGTATACGTTTAGGCGGATTGTCGAATTGATGTCAAAAGGTGTAACTAGTAAGAGTAAAATGACCTTCAAAACTTTTTGCATTAATTCGATTTAATACATAGGTAACAATAAAAAAAATTCGATGTTATTTTTTTCTCTTAGCACTTGGTGTGTTAATATTTGAGAAAAAAATTGTAGAATATTTCTTTAGGAAAAATATTCATCGACATTGTAAGATGTACTTGAATGAAAAAAATATTAATATTTCTGTCTGTGTTTACCTTTTTTCCCAAGTTTTAGCTGTGGTTAAAAAAAGTAGGAACAATAATTATCAATAAAATGCATTTTATCAATGACGTGACATTTCAAGTGTCAATATCAAATAATTTAATGAAATTCTATATTTTTTCTCTTCAATAAAGGCAAGAAAATTTGGGCTTGATTCTGCTCAAATACGTTCATATGACTTTCTTAAAAATTTAATAATACATAATTTTAATTACAATTAATTTATCATAACTATATTCTCAATACTTAAAAATTTTTTTTTTCAAATAATTTTTCAGAGTAATTTTGTGTTTTGTGAATGCAGGCATTGGAATCTTCACTAATTTAAGTAGATCAATATTGGATTCACGAAGATATTTGACTTCCAATTTTAATGACTACTTTAGCACATAAATTCTTTATTTGGAATTCTCCTTTTTCGTTTATTTTGCAAGTTTTTGAAAATGAAAATGTTTATAACTATAAAAAAACGAAAAGAAGGTTTTTTATTGAGAAAATAAGATATCTTGTAATTGTTAGACCTCTTTTAGACATTTCTGCCCTTTTTCCAATTACCTACCTACGTAAGGTTTTACAGATTTACTTGTAATATATTTTGACATATCGGACATTCATAGGATCCAAAATGCGTATAGGTATTTTAACTAAATCTCACTTATTAGGCCGTGAGAAGCCTAATTCCTTATGGACAAAGTTATATGGTAGGCCGTGACAGTGACAGGTAATGTCATGACAACATTGTTATTGTTTGACAGTTTGTAAAGCTATTAAAATGGGTTACACAGAAGTAGAAAATTGAAATATTATAGGAATTAAAATACTCTATTTTATTCCTATAATATTTCAATTCTCTACTTCTGTTTTAATTAAATAATAATACAAGCTTTGAAACAATAACAATGTTGTCATGACATTACCTGTCACTGTCACGGCCTACCATATAACATTGTCCATGAGTAATTAGGCCTCTCATGGCCTAATTTAGATTTAGATTTTAGAATTTTAAATACCGAAACACATTCCTATCAATGTCCGATATGTCAAAATATATTACAAATAAATCTGTAAATTGGGAAAAAGGCATAAATGCCTAAAAGAGGTCTAACAATTACAAGATGTCTTATTTTATTAACAAAAAAATATTAAAAAAATTATTTCTTATGGGGGACCATTTAGGGAGCGTAGCTCCATTAGGAAGCATAGCTCCATTAGGAAGCATTTCTTGACTCATGTCTATATGAAAATATAGTCTTATTTTTGGCAATAGAATCTAGTGGTAAATTATTGAACACTAATTATAAGACACCCTGTATACTGACATGTCACGTCATTAGAGCGCTATTGTGTGTGCCATTAAATCTATGTAAAATGAAAATTTAAAAATATTTGCAGTTTATTAACACCGATAACCATTTTGATTGTCATCATATACACAATAAGAACTATTTCTAAGTCCTTGTATATTGGATTCACAATTTATTAACAAAAGTGCCTATATATTTTTAATGATGTGATATATGGAAGGAACTTTTGCTAAAATTTACCAAGTACTGTTCTAATAGTATTGCAGTTATCATTAGTAACAGGTGAATAAAACTAGGAGAATCATTTTTTTAGTGTTACTATATATTAATGTCAAATTAAGTCCTAAAGTTTTGAGGGCTATTTTACGTATTTGAAAATTGCATTGTTGCCAGATTGCCACTTTTTTCATTATAACACGGTATTTATTATTATTTTTTAATAAGAACATCCTGTATATTTTTACTTATTTTGAATAGAACCTTTTATTATGATTGCAATAATATAAGGTTTCATGGGTCTATCTGTAATAGTAAGGGGGATATAATAAAATAAAAATTAAAAGCCCATTATATTAGATGAACTTTCTAAAAATTGAACTTATGGTAGACTCTTTTGACATCAATCAGAGAATCTGTAAGTTGTAGGAGGCATGCCATTAAAAAAATAAAGTAAAATTATTTTAATAATTTTTGTTTATAATAATGCTTTATCGTTGTTGTAAGTAACTCTTATTTATTCAAGCACTTTTTTAGGTACTAGAATGTTTACAAAGTGTTTCACCAGGACGATTAAGTAAAAAATGTGAAAAGGAAGTTTTCAAAGTTCAAAAACTTGAAGCTTATGATAATACTGTAGATTATGCACTTTTAACTACATGCACACAGGCTATAGATCAGTTCTGCCCTGATCGGGAACGAGAAAGTATACTAAATTGCCTAAAGGTTAGTTAGTATCTATTACTTATTACTTTAACTTTGTATGTAATGAAAATTTATTACTTTGACAGTACACAAAGAAATATTATATTTAAAGTAGTTAAAAACTGTGTGGTTTCTTTCTTAATATAGCTTAAACAGTTTGGAAGTTTTGGTACCATAGTTTATTTATTTTTAAGATGCAACATTGATAAGTTAAGATCAGTATGTGATATGCACTTGATTCGCTTGTTACCTACTTACATACATTGAACAACCAGCAACAAATTCGTCCAACCTACTGGTGATAGTTTTAATCAGGTCTGCAGTTAATTTGCATGTTCATTTCTACTTTAATAGTTTGCATACTTAGTAACATATTTAGTCCAACCAAATTACACTTGGAGAAAAAAAAANAGTTTGGTAAAGGAGTGTGACACCGAAACCTCTATTTTTTGAGGTTGGCGATATGGGAATTACTGAACCCAAGAATCCATAATTGGCGATACTGCTTTTCAATTTGATCTATATTCAATTTGTTATTTTATTTACCTTTGTAGAACGACAATTAAAATATGTTGATGTTTTATATTTTTTTGCTATTTAATCATTTTGTGTCCATATATACAAATACTTTTCTAAATTATTCTTTAACACGAAACAAAAGAAATATAAACTATTCTATAGTTGATCGCAGTGAATGCAGTGAAATAAAATCTATTTGCAACAATTTAAGTGAAAATGATGATCTTTTAATATTAGAATGTTTACTATCAACAAATTCTAAGATACTGAACCATTTAAATAAGAGCTGTCAACATGTTGTATGGGAACATACAAAAAATTTAATTCAAGACGAGAGTGTTAAAAGTAAATTGTTGCCCTCATGCTCAAACGACTTGAATCAATTAAACTGTGGAGTAGATGATAGTGGTAACTACCTAAAGTGTATTTTAAACAATATTAATAACATACATACCACAAATTGTATTGATATGCTAATCCGATTAGAAAATGTAGCATTTACAGATTATATGTGGATTTCTAGCTTTTTACAACATTGTACAAAAGACATAAATAATTTAAAATGTGGTAGAGTTGATTCACAAAGCTTTACACAAATAAATACCGTTAATTGTTTGCAAAATAATATTTTAAATATACAGGATGACTGCAAAAGAGAAGTTTTTCATTTGTCTGAACTTCAGTCTGAAAATATAAAACTTGATGCACAGTTGTATTCAGATTGTTCTGATGATTACATGAGGTATTGTTCAAATTATGGTGCAGGAAATGGTAGAGTTTTTTCTTGTTTAATGCAGCACATGCACAAAGATCAAAGTAAGTTAAGAGATAAATGTCAACAGCATTTATTAAGAAGGCAAAAGTTAATAGTTCAAGATTATCGTATAAGTAAAGGTTTATTACGAGCTTGTAAAGATGATATTAGAAAAACACATTGTAGAAAACAGATTTCTAGTGACAAAACAGTTCGCTTGGCTCAAATTTTACTGTGTCTTGAAAACATGATGAAAAATGGCACCACACTTGATTCAGAATGTAAAGAAGAGATGATTGATCACAGAAAAATGCTGATGGAGGATTATAGGTTATCACCAGAGATTGTAAATAATTGTAAAAATGAAATATCTATTTATTGTAAAGGTTTTGAAACTGGTGGGAAAACTATACATTGCTTAATGGATCATGCTTTATTAAAAGCTGGAAATAGTAATACCAAAATTAATGATCAATGTATGAGAGCTGTAAGTATTCTGTAGTAACATTTAAATTTGGACGGACAGTGATCCTCCATTTTTTTTTCAAATTTAAGATTTATTAAATATGTACCTGGATTACTCGCATACCGGGTGGCTCACAGTGAGTGACCTATTAGATTATTTCAGAACTTGCTTCCATTTAAATTTTGAAAATTGGCACACTAGGGTGTTTGGGTGTGCTCTTTTCAAATCTAATAATTTCGTTCCAGTAACACTATCCACACTATCGGAAGTTGATGTCAACTTTGTTATTTCAAATAGAACACTATATTTTTACATTTTTGGATTCTACGCTTCATTTTAAGATGACTTCTAAAATACGTTCGCATAATTACTGTAGGTATTGAAGAAGAGTTCTTCAACAATTGTTTATTTTAAATCATTTGAAACATTTCAATTGTTTGAAAAAAAAAACAAATAAGCTAATTAAAAAAATTGACTATAAAAATTCTCTTTGGTCTTGTAAAAAAAAGAAAAGGGGAAGGAGATGGGTCATCCTTATAAAAAATTCTTTTAAATATCCATAAATGTAGGTATTATTTTAGGTTTAGTAGTATAAAAAAACTTCGTATTCTTAAATGTAATATTTGTTCTTTCAGCTTGAAGATTTAGTGAAGGAAACTGATGTAGGTGAAAATTGGAGTGTTGATCCAATTTTACAACAAGCATGCTATCCAGTTGTAAAAGTTGCCTGTAAAGATTTATTAGGGGGAGATGCTAAAGTCATGTCTTGTTTAATGGATAAATTAGGAACCGATTACATGAATGAGGAATGTGAAAATGCCTTGATTCAGATACAGTATTTTGTAGCGAGAGATTTTAAACTGGATCCTCAACTATATAGAGGTTGTAAAAGAGATGCCATTAGATATTGTCACGTTAGACCAGATAATGTTACAGAAGAAGGACCTGCTTATGGTCCAGAAGTGTTACCTTGTTTGTATAGGTAGCTATGAAATTATGTAAACGTTTCTTCCATTTGAACTTGACTAAAAGAATAAATTATAGTATCAAATTTTATAGCAGTTTTACATAATCAAAGAAATTCATGAATTAATTTATGAATTAATGAATTTATGTACCAGAGTTCAATTTTTTATTGTAATTAAGTAGATCCAATTTTGAATATTAATATTTGTGTCGTACCAACTTTTAATAATTGAGGTTTTTACTATTTTCCTTATTTTGCGACATGAGACTGATATTGAGATTGATAAGGAAAAAACTAGAAATTAGAGCCAGCTCTGTTCTTATAATTTTTTCATGAACTTATTGTCATCAATATATTGAGGATATGGATAGATAATGAGAAAATAATGTCACAAGTTCATATAAAATTTTTTCCTCCGGGCTCACCCTGTAGAGTTATTAGCTCTTGAAGTTGAAAATTAAAAATGTTTTTTTTGCTGTAACTTTTGTATTTTTCAATAAATTTTGAAAATTTTTTGGCTGGATCTATAATTTTTGAAGCTGCTTTGGATGATAATATGAAATCCACCAAAATTTGTAGAAAAAAATTTTTGTTCCAATATATCCCAAATTTTCCATCATTTTATAAAAATTCATGGTATTTTACGTAAAAAAGGTATACTTGTTGAATATCCATAAAATAGATATTTTTTGAGATAAACCCGTTTAAAGAGGAAGGTACCATTTAATTTGAGACATTTTATTTAATTGAAACACANTTTCTAAAAATTGAACTTATGGTAGACTCTTTTGACATCAATCAGAGAATCTGTAAGTTGTAGGAGGCATGCCATTAAAAAAATAAAGTAAAATTATTTTAATAATTTTTGTTTATAATAATGCTTTATCGTTGTTGTAAGTAACTCTTATTTATTCAAGCACTTTTTTAGGTACTAGAATGTTTACAAAGTGTTTCACCAGGACGATTAAGTAAAAAATGTGAAAAGGAAGTTTTCAAAGTTCAAAAACTTGAAGCTTATGATAATACTGTAGATTATGCACTTTTAACTACATGCACACAGGCTATAGATCAGTTCTGCCCTGATCGGGAACGAGAAAGTATACTAAATTGCCTAAAGGTTAGTTAGTATCTATTACTTATTACTTTAACTTTGTATGTAATGAAAATTTATTACTTTGACAGTACACAAAGAAATATTATATTTAAAGTAGTTAAAAACTGTGTGGTTTCTTTCTTAATATAGCTTAAACAGTTTGGAAGTTTTGGTACCATAGTTTATTTATTTTTAAGATGCAACATTGATAAGTTAAGATCAGTATGTGATATGCACTTGATTCGCTTGTTACCTACTTACATACATTGAACAACCAGCAACAAATTCGTCCAACCTACTGGTGATAGTTTTAATCAGGTCTGCAGTTAATTTGCATGTTCATTTCTACTTTAATAGTTTGCATACTTAGTAACATATTTAGTCCAACCAAATTACACTTGGAGAAAAAAAAAATTGTTACCCAGACCTTTATAAGTGGAAATTGTAAAAGGGCTTATAATAAACCTAAAAAAATAAATGCGTGAGCAGGGGCGGCGGAGGGTTTTTTTGGGGGTTGAAGTTATTAAAAATTGTATTATTGGGATTTCTGGCGAAAGTTGATGTCAAACAAAAAAGTATCCAATACTAAAGTTGTAGATAGATTTAACATAACCTCAAAATTTCAGAGAAAAATGCGAAAAACAAGTTTTTTTCTGATTTTTCGTTTTTTATTTCTCATTTTCGCAAAAATAATTTAATTTTGACGAAACTTGGTAAGAGTATACCTTTCTCTGTCTTAACCTCAAATTTTTTTAGATAAAAAAATCAAAAAGTTTCTGAGATATTAATTTTATTCGGCCTGAAACACTTTTTTTTCAAAGAAAAATTCTACTTAAAAAATCATCGTACAGAGCTTCCATACAAAGGCAAAAGAGTCAATTTGTAAAAATGTGATTTTGAGAAAATCCACAATAGACTTTTTTGCATTGGAATGTCCGGCAAGGTCATAACAATATCAGTACCTGATATAAATAATGCATACGAATTTTTCATAAATAAATTAATGTTAAATTTTAATAAATACTTTCCTAAAAAAAAATATAGTTTTTCTCTGGATAACAATAGTTGTAAATGGGTTACCGATGATGTAAAATTGTCTAGTAATAGACTGAAAGATTTATACATTTTGAAAACTAATTTTCCACAGCTCAATCAATTCTACATGCAAGCTAAAATCCGCCATAATAAATTAATAAAAAATGCAAAACGGTCTTATTATCAGAATCGCATATTCAGTTCAAGTAATATAGCAGGTGAGGCCTGGAAGGTTATCTCTGAGTTGTCGACGGGTGTGCCTGAACATAAGAACATAAGTCTTTTAGAAAATAAAATATTAGTTGAGAATCCTCATTTAGTGGCTGAAGTGTTTAATGATTATTTTATTAATGAGCCTAAAAATATAATTAATAGAATCACAAAGAAACAAGGAAAGGTCTTGTATCCGACATATAATAGTTATTCTATATTTCTAATTCCATTTTCAGAGGATGAATTATTGAATCTTCTAACGCTTAAACTGAAAAATAAGCGATCAGCTGGATATGATGAAGTGCCAATGTTTATTATGAAAAAGGCATTACCGGTGATAATCCAGCCGTTAACGTATCTAATTAATTTATCTTTTAGCACTGGTGTATTTCCAGAAAGATTAAAATTGGGTAAAGTAGTTCCCATTTTTAAGAAAAACGATCCCCAATTTGTTCAAAATTATAGGCCAATAACCATAACGTCATGTTTCTCTAAATCCTTTGAGTATGCGTTCTTGCATAGACTGTTACCCTTTGTCAATAAGCAAACTTTATTTTCCCCTAGTCAGCATGGATTTATCTGTGGTAAATCTACAAATACCGCTATCTTGTCACTTTTGGAAACTATCATTGATTGTGTTGAATCTGGCGAGGGTCCCGTTGGTATCTTTTGTGATATTAGTCGGGCGTTCGACTGTGTTCAGCATAATATTTTAATTAACAAGCTATTGGCATATGGTATTAGAGGCGTCGCACTTGATTGGGTGCAATCTTTCTTGAGTAATAGACCTCAGTATGTTTGTGTTAATCATATTGATGATATAAAAAAAGATAATATTGATTCTAATATTTTAATTAATAACATGGGAGTTCCACAGGGATCTGTGCTGGGGCCTATCCTTTTTCTTTTTTATAGTAACGACATTGACTCGGCTTCACCTGTTGCCTCTGTTGTTCGTTATGCTGACGACACAGCGTTTCTGTTTTCATCTCCATGTTCTGAAAATTTAAATATAATGTGTCAGAGCTCCCTGAACGAATTGTTGGCTTGGTTTGAAACTCACTGTCTTTTCTTAAACAGCTCTAAAACAAAGGCCATTAGATTTCATAATAGGCAAAATAACTGCCCGAAAATTGATGTTATTTTAAAAGACTCTATAATTTCTTCTAATTCAAGAAATATAAAGTTTCTGGGTGTTACGATTGATGAAAATTTGAATTGGAAAGAACATTGTTTCAACTTAATTGCTAAATTAAATTCAGTTAGTTATATGTTCAGGAGACTTAAAATGGTACTTACCAGCCATCAGTTAATTAGTTTATATTATGCACAGGTGGAGTCGAGATTGAGATATGGAATTTTATTTTGGGGTACGTCCACTTTGTCAAGTGATGTTTTTGTTGTTCAGAAGCGTATTCTGAGGTTGATTGCAAATATACATTTCCTGGATTCATGTAGAGATGTTTTTAAAAAATATAAAATTTTAACTTTGTGCAGTCTTTTTATTGTTGAGTCTGCTGTTTATGTTTTCATGAATAAGCAGAAGTTCTCTTTAAATTCTGAAATCCACCATTACAACACAAGGAATTGCAATAAATTCCGTTTACCCTTTTGTAAATATAACATTTCTCGCAAATCGCCGAATTGTCTGGCTATTAAAATTTACAATCATTTACCTTCTGAAATAACAGACTCACTTACACAGGGTGTTTTTAAGAGCAAATTAAAGAAGTTTTTATTGGAACGGTCTTTGTATGGTCTAGATTAGTTCTTTGCTGTAGATTACACCGGTACTGACAAATGACTAACATTTTTTTTTCTTGGTTGTAATATGTTAGTTTGTTCTTATTTATGTTCTATGTTTTTTTTTATATATGACTATTCCTATATATATATGTATGTATATCTCATGGAAAAATAAATGAATTTTGAATTTTTTTTGAATTTTTAATAGACTGTTTTTTCAATTTTCTAACTTGAACTTATCCTAGGAATACCGTTTCTGCACCAAAACGTAGAACTGCTTCTGCGCATTACATTTATGTAAATATATTAAAATAGACAATTTTGTGATTAGACTCTTTTGCCTTTGCAGGGAAGAGAGTTCTGCCGTAATCATTTTTTTCGTTTTGACATACTTTTTGGTAAAATAAAAAAATCTAATCACAGTTCTAAAACATGCTCAAAAATGCAAAAAAAAAATAAAAAATGACTTGCAACAATGAATTTTTCAGTTATTGTTGATAACTTGTTTAAATTAAAAAACATTCAAAAACTGATTACACCATTCAATTCTACGGAAAAAAATTAAAAAAAAACTGTGCCTCATTGTTTGACCCAAAACTTTATTTTTGTACAGTATTGCTATAAGCATCTAAGTCGAATTACAAATGCACAAATGATAAATTATCTCTGAATGATTTGAAATTTCAGCAATACTAAGTATTAACTACAAAGTCTACTGTTGGCGCGAAATCTGAAAACCCGAAATTTTGCAAAATCGTTTTTTTTTTTCTGGCTTTATTTGAAAACGAATTTTAAATAAATTACCTACATATTTACAATGCCACTTTTTCGCTCTATACAATGGCACAACATTTTTGCAATCCGACGTTTCGTCTTCGAGGGGCCATCATCAGATTAATTTTTTTAAATATATCGCTGCTATTTTTATGACAAAA